GTGAGGATGAAAATGGTGAACTCATCGAACCAACTGCACAACAGATGAAAGAGCTCTACCAAGAAATCGGCCGACCACAACAAAAGGACGACATCGGGGAAGAGGGATTCGTCAATGCATACTATGGGGCAGTGGTACTTAAACGACTTCTCGTATATACCCTTGAATGCGGTTACACATATGAAGACTTGCAAAATATCTTCTTCGATGAAGAGATGGAGAAACTGTCGAAACGTGACTCAACAAGGGATGAGATGAGAAAGACCACAGCCGCCCGCGAAGCCCTTGACCGACAAGATGTCCTGGTCAGAAGAATCATTGCAGGTGCATACAGAGTGAATGCTGTTTATTTCTTCAGGAACGTCGACTTTCAAGACACGATCACACTGAACCCAGTTGACATTGTGTGTGCTCTTCGACCTCCACTTCGAAGAATTTCAGTTTTGCATCTGATCCTTCAAAATGGCCGACAATTGCCACGACCTCTACTCCAGAAGCTGTATGATGCAATCAATGACTACAACCACATCAAGCAACGGGATGATCAACGACCAAGATGGGGCATCCACATGTCAGAAGCCCACATACTTGCGATTGCTGATACCCCGGTTCCTGCCGATCGTGAACGCGCTAACCCGGCTGCTGGCAAATCGAAAGCAGCCCCAAAGGCAGCACCGGCACTAGGCAGAGTGTCAAAAGCGAAAGCATCATCATCAGCAACATGGAGAACCGTCGAAGCTGCTCCTCCGCCAAAACAAGCTCCAGTACCCCCGCCACAAAGGTGGAAAAGACCAAGGGAAAGGTGAAAGATCTTATTCGCATCGTGGTGCCGACTGAAACCATCAGGGATACTATGGATGGGGATACAGACGATAAGTCGACGTGACCTCTGCATAGGTCCTGATTGAACCTGGCGAAGCGAGGCAGCAATCATTGCTCGAGATTTACCTCTACTTCATTTCGAATGATTTCTGAGAGGACTCTGAGCCGGCTAATTTACCACCACATTTTTTTTTGAATGTCATTGCACGAGACGCTGAGTTTCTACAGCGGTCTACATCTCAACCGACGAAGGAACGGGAAGGTAAACTTCTAGTTCCATAGTCATCTTTGTGTTTCGATTTTCTTATTCGCATGCTTGAGTGGGATTCCATGCTGGCTACGCCACATCGGATGAACCTCAATGCTGTACACAGACTACGTCTTGTCAGCATGCACGTGAACAGAACCTTTATTTTTTTTGGTAGAGATCGTAGCAAGCCGCCATGTAGATTTGAAGTTCTGAACGGACTTTAGCTCTCCATAATTCAATAAATGAACAGCTGCAGATGTATTGGAACGATTTAAGGGACACTCCTTTGCGCGTGGCCAACAAAGTTGGCCATGCGTGGGGGGTGCGAATGGGATGTAGACTACAGCACGAAACATACTCCCATGTAAATAACCCTTAATCATCCATGGCCAAGGGTTGCATATATGTGCCCCCTTTGGCTCAAGACAACTGCCAGCTCCGTGAGAAAATAAAGCAATGCCGAAACTGCCACTCCTTCGTCGTTGTCAGTGAGAGAACAACTACATTCTCGAACAATCAAGAGCATATATCGGGGAGAGAACCTCCGATTCACAGAATACATATGACGCCATATATACTTCCAGATGATATGTTTGAAACTGTGGCAGGATAGTGTGTCAGGGTAATTTATTTGTTTTTTAAATGGAACCCTGACGGTTTGTCTGCAATTCCCAAATCGCAGGCGCTGCCTGTTGTTTCTGGCAAAACTAATGCCCTGCAACTGTGACAAGCTCAGGTAACCGGCTGAGTCACGAGATCCTTTATTTGGTTCCAACTTGATTGACGAATCAAGAAGAACACTGTCCAGCTCGGACATTTAGCGGCATAATAACACCTCACCTCGCCCCTGGGTGACCCTCGTGTAGCATACATTGACGTACGGAGTTGAGTAGCTTGACTTTGGCCCTGGTGGATGCTTGAAACCTGTCTATTGGCAAATTGGGAGCCTTGTTGTTGCCGTTATTATCAATCAAAGCTGGAATATGCTGGAATGTATATAATGAGAACACAAGACAACGCAACTATTGTTTGTTATTTTTTCATGGTGCACTATGACCACACATCTGTGTGTGAATTTCTATTTGATGCATTTTGATGCCAAGGTCTCGCATATATTGCGGTTCAAAGCTCATAAACTTGACGTGTTGCGAGTGCTCAGGCCATTCTTCTTCGAGAGTGTTGGCCATTCGGACAGATGGGGCTTGTGATATCCCGGGAATGCACGGGCGTGGCTTTAGGTAAAGCACGCTGCCGTGTGTTCATCCACATGCAACACCGAACCCGCTGGACTTCAAATAGTTAGTTGAATAGCCCCACCCTTAAAAACGATCCGAACACATTCCAAAAAGGTCAGTGGAGCCAAAATGCCTGGCATTCGATTCCCCCCCCCGGGGGTGAAACTTCTCACCTGTGCCACCCTGGGTAGATCACTTCAATCATTCCTAGCCTCACGGCGCCAGGGTTTCAGAATCACCATGATTTTTGTACAATTGACTTTCCCAAGCGTTCGTTTTTGCAGGAGGTTTTGGTCACGACCGAAGTCTCTGCCTCAAAGAGGGATGCTCGACCAGGCAGAGGGACAACTCTCCTGGGTGAGAATTGAAATTTGCGCAACATCCAACAGCTCAGTCCATCTCGTTCGTGAACAAATATGGCAAGACTGGAAGAATGGAAGACTTCCCCCAAGAATATATAGTGAGGAACCAATTTCCATTTCAGACCTGCCCGCACGTAGACACACGTAGACTCACGCAGACACACGCAGACACACGCACACGCACCGACACCCACACCCCCCCACACACAGACACACACACACGAACTGGATCATTGTAGTGACCCGTCGGGAACTGAATCCGAAAACGTGCAATTAAACAAGGTTGTTGAAGTAAGGTAGATTTGCGGCAATCGTACACATTCGAGAGGAGATTGTCCCGGTAGGGTTCTCGGCCTAGCCCTTCGCCATTTCTGTGAAATACCAAATGACGATGGACCCCTGCCATTTATTAGTTTAGGTGACCACCGGCTATGCAACAGCATCCAGATGCATCACCATGTGGCCACCAGCTATGCAACAGCATCCAGGTGCATCACACTGGTTCCAAATTGGCGAAACACATAGAATCGCCGCATGTGACCACCAGCTATGCATATGCATCCAGGTGCATCACCATGTTTCCAAAAAGGCGAGACATACAGAATCGCCAAATGTGACCACCAGCTATGCAACATTGTTTCACTTGACCTTGCTCACCTACCCTAGAAAACGCGTGACACGACATGATAAACGGCAAACCGGTTCTTGGGTTAGCCGGATCCCATAGCAGGTACAGGCTCATGCGCCCATGAACCCTTCCACCACATCTTCCATGTTGGGCAACATAGGAAGATGGGCTGTTGCCCCCCTGCTTTTACGCATGAAATAACAGAAATAGAAGTTTTACATCTGTTCAGGTGTCCCACACACACGCACCGTGTATATGTATATATATATATTATATGGTATTTACATGTATTTACATGTATTTACTATAATTATATAATGTCAATGTTGTTTGTCGAGCTTTATTGTGTTTATATCATGATTTCGAGTGTGTCCAGTGACCCCTGGCACAGGTGCATGGTAATGTCTCTTATCTTGAGAGTCACAAGCGGATTCATGAGGGTCCCACTCATCAGATGGTGCTTTGCCATGCTCGACCATCTTCCGGTTTGCTGCTTTGTTGCAGGATTCACTTCTAGATACTAGATACCATACATTGTTGGAATATGGCCCTGCAGCGTGCTTGGCTGGGTCGAGACATCAACGCGCAGGTTTCGCCTCCCTGCGAGCCGCAGAAGAGGCTTGATGTGTGCATTGCGCATGTCAACTAGTTACTTATAAATCAAAGAGGGTTGTACGCCAGGTTTTGCTCAATGCCCAAGAATTTTGGCAATGCAATACGATGCACTTAGGCGTCAAGTCGGGGACAGTGATGAAATCTGAGGATATTTGCGGTACTTCATCGATCTTCATCGCTTGCTCCACTCTTGCGAGCCGCGGCAGGCATGGAAAGACTGGCATCGCCTGCGTCGGGCTGCCTGGGTCGAACGGTCGAACGCAAATTCTTCAAACTGGAACTGCAATCTGTACACCTCATTGGAAGCTTTCCATGTTTGAATTCTAATTGAATTCCCACAGCTACCAGATTGACTCTCCTTGGTAATGATGAGCATTTGGTGCGAATGCATCTTCTTTCAAATGGTTTTTGAAATCCAATGGGAGTCAAACTCTCAACACAGCAGTGCTCTTACTGTGTTCTTGTTGGACATACATGTGTATATAATTGTATATATACATATATACACTCAATTACAACATACGTATACGTACGTACGTACGTACATACAGTAGATACCTACGTACCTCCCTACGTACCTATCTACCTACATTTTATCAGAATCAGAATCCTTGTGTCACCATGCTCGTGCATGCTCCAGGCACATGATGATATATGCGCATTTGCAACCAGATCTGGGTGAATTACTGTACGTCTGGGGATGTTTTCCTCGCTTAGGTGGCGAGAATGACAACACGACCCTGGCAAAACACCTCATTGAATGCGCCAGGAGTTGGTCCCTTCAATCAGACACCAAGAGCCAAGAGCTTCCTGGATTTGGCCCATCAGGGCATAATTTAGCCACATCCAAAGCATACTCAAAGATTCTGAGGGATTCAGAAGAAAGGGGGAGTAACGGCGCACTCAACTACATATCACCTAGTATTTCTATGTATTTCCAATGACACATATGAAAAGGTTGACTATATTGCCAGCATGCTTCTGCGCCATGTGCTGAGTCAGATGCCAACAGGAAGTCAGGTATTTTTTCGGGGATAAAACTCTATCTAATGACCTCAAGTGCTCGTGGTGAAGACCGGGAATCATGTGACTCGAGACGAATAGAGTCCAAACTCCGCCACAGCTGCTACACTCCTATTGTCACTCGATACTTTTCTTGTGCTGCCATCGTTTTGGCCCAAATGCCTAGAGCTCAGGGCGGCACTGCCCAGCTGGCAGCAGCCAGCGGCTGCCAGCAGCTGGCTAGGTCGTCCCAGGGACGAGTTGCCAGCCATGGTCAGGGGCAAAGAAAACTGGAATACGCTGAATTATTCGAAACAAAGACTTACAGATGACGATATAGCTGGCCTCCACCTCTCACAGGTTGGGAACGAAGCGCTGAAACTGTAAGCTTTGATGCTTTTGGTTTCTTTTGTATAGCAAACAGATGCATAGCTTTTCGGGCTTTTGGGCTTTGTTCGCGATCCATTCTGGACCATTCTAGACCTCTTGATAAGTACTGTAGTTTTTTCACAAAAACACACATTAGGTGGTGTCGCCATGCATCAGTATCTTTTTTTGGTTGCTGCCTTTGGCTTGGCGGCTTGGGTGGCTTGTTGAAGGATGATCACAAGAAGCCTTTGCTAGTCATGCTAGGCTTAATTATTAAGGCTTAATTTTAGATTTTGCAGTATTATCTAGCAGTTTGGTGCCAGGAGCGCAGAACCTTCGTGGAGGCAGGTTTCTTTTGGAGCTTTATATATTTTATTTTTATTTATTGGTTGCCCTTAGCCCTTACCCAGAAATGCCATATCTAAATTTCCATCTTAATAATATAAACATGCCAGCGGCATGAGCAGTGCCTTTGCGAAGCCTCCCTCAGGTGGATTTCTCCTGCAATAAGCTAACTTCTTCCGGTCTCGAAGCAATTGCATCTTGTGAAGCAATCAGTGCTGGCTTCAAATACAGGATTTTTCTGTTCGTGATCAGTGGGACATGGTTTGGGCTGATGAATGCTGATGTATGATGAAGTTTTCGAAGAAACATGCTCTGCAGTGATGGCGCCGCGCCCCACATCTCTAGTGACCACCTTGTTGTTCCGAAGTTCTTGGTGCATAAGGTGAAATTCTGCATCCACTGCCCAGACTTGTGTGTTTTCAAGGCTGGAACAGCTGCACAGAATGGCGACATGCACACACACAGACACGCAATCATTGTGATCATGACATCGCCATACATCGCCCATTTCATTCCTTGACAGTTGGTAAGCATCTTGGGTAGGTCAATGTATGTCATTAGGTTCCTCAATTTCCGGTTTTCCAGGCCTTCAAGAATGAGATTGATGATGCGGGAGCGCGTCACATTGCAACGCTGCTGGACAAGTGCAAGTGTCTAGGCAGACCAGAGAGATCCAGAGAGTTCTTCGTTTCTTTTGGGCTTACCAGAGTTAAAGATGTTAAAGATGTTAAAGTGGGGGGGAACAGTCTGACCCGTTCTGACCCAGTCTGACCTGGAGTATCGGTCTTCCATGGTCTTCTGGCAAATTGACACTGCAGATACTGCAGTGTGAACATGAGCGCAAAAAGGCAAGCCTGCCTTGTTGGAAGATACTGGAAGCATTTGCATGGATTCACTCATTGAGTTGAAGTCTTGCAAAGTCTCGACTCAAATAGTTATTTAATTATAATTATCATAACACACACATATATATATATGCACATATGTACATATATATATATAATATAACTATCATGTTTTCTTTATTTTTTTGAGGTTTCTTGGGCTACTGCGTTGTTCCTCCCTACATCCACGACAAATTCGATTGATGAGCCCAGCGTCCTTAGGTCAATCGAAGAGATCCATTTGTCCCACAACTACCTCACGGCCAGCGCAGCGCAGGGGGCTTGGGGGAGCATGTGGGCACACAAGATGTAGTCATTTTTTTAAATATATTTATCAGAAGAAATCAGAAACACAACAGTGGCAGTTCATGCCAGTGTTAATCAAACTGATGGTAAGATTCTATAAAGAGAGGCTTACGGCACGACATGTACGATTGCGGAAAGGGACCATTGAGAAAAGATCAACGTTTGGCGAGCCCCATCACTCCAGCAGATAGATTTACAGTAAATGGATTCAACACAATTCAACACAGCACTTGGAATCTTAGTGGCGGTTTGCCCCGACCCGGCGTTGAGTGATCAAAGAGTTTATGCCACCAGCATTTCACTAGCACTTTAGTGCTTTTGGTAGCTCCAGGTTTTCTACCAAGCTGCTAGTAGGCCTATCTCAGTCTATCTCCTGCACATTCTCTCAGATACTTCGATGGTGGCTTTGGTTGGGTTTGCTGACATTCCTTGTCCCAACGTTTGCAGGCCAAGGGTGTCCGTACAATCATCAGAGCAGCCGACTGGAAAAGGCACAATACTGAATCTCCGCTTTGGCTGCGCTTGGAACAGATACATGGCAGGATAAGTATGGCCTGTCCTTGAAAGTTTTTTTTTTTTTTTGCGAGATGGTTGAGGACTATGATGGGACTTGGGGTGGGCCAGCTGTGGCGGTTTTGTCAGAAGTGCACATACGTACACATGGCAGTGACTTGGCAGCTAGTGAAGTTTTGGACGTCAAATCTGAACTTTTGGATGCCGTGGTTTCTTTGAATCCTTAAGGCAGAGGCATGGCATGAACTAATTGTGGGAACACTCACCTCCCATAAGCATCCATACTTTTTTTTTTCAGGGGGCGAACTGGGACAGTCGGTTTCTGATGGATACCAAGCGCCTGAGCTTGAGGAACTACGTGGCTTCAGGTGCCGATTTCTTGCGAGTGATGGCTCAAGAGTCACTTGACTGTTGGCGTTTCCTGCTTGTAACATCCATTTGTGACCACATTGAGGCCCCCAGTGCCAGAATCGCCTCAGTGCATTCTCACTGCATGCGGCAGAAATCTTGGAATCTCTGCAAGCATCCGCCGACACAAACTTGCCACCATCATGGCCACTAGTCAGTTATACAGTTATACAGCTATATAGAAATCTAGTTACTAGCCAAAGAGGTTTGCATACAATTCACGAGACACGCATCCAACATCATCCAACATCATCCAATTCAAGCAGCATTTCCATTTATTTCCTGCCAAACCTCTCAGCATCAATATGGCTTCTTTCGGTAGAATGGTTTGGAAGGCAGTGCCCCACACCTTCAGCGAATTGTTGCAATCAGGCATAGCGTGTGTGGTCGCAATGACGATTGGCGCTGCACGAGCCGACATTGCTACTGGAAGCGGCAACCCGGCTGCAAGTACTTTCAGAAGGTCATACGGTCCGTTCTGCCATTTCTACCATGATCAATGGTGGTTCGCCTTTTCGGAGTTCAAGCTTAGCTCACACAATGGAACAACCATGCCGCCATACTTATTCAATGGCTCAACGAACAAGAAGCGGATTATGCTCACTTGTTGTGCTGGCAAGCTTCCTAAAAAATGGGAGCAACAGAAAGTATAAGCAAACTACAGCAAAGTTCAAGTCCGAGAAAAAAAGAGCTCTGCCTGGAGAGAGAGAGAGAGAGAGAGAGAGAGAGAAAGAGAATGATAGAGACAGAGAAAGCCCAAGGAACATCCACGTGCCTTTCTTGCACTTGCAACGGCAGGATTGGCAGGCCTCTATGGGCAGCTGTGATTCAGAGACCAATTTTTTCGAAAGCAGGGCTCACACTCACAAGATTGCTGAGAAAATCACGATACAACATGATACAAGGAGAAACACCATATTCCAACCGAAGTGTGATATTTATTTTGACATGTATACATGGCGTGCACTGGTATGCGCCCAAAATATAAATGGGTAGAATCAAATATACGGATACTGTGACTATATGGTAGTCAGACTTGAAGCGGTTCCAAGCCCCGAAGACCGAGCAAAGCTATGCCAAGCTCATAGGTTCCTGTGTTTGCGAGTGTGCATGCCTTTGTCCATACTGCGCACAGATATGAATTTGTTGAACAAATCATGTGCAAGCACCCTTCACTTCGCCAAATTTCTGATAACTCTGTGGCGAAATCTCAATTTTCTAGCTTCACGGTTTCATGCCTCACAACACCTGGCTACTTGTTGGCTGTGCTGAGCGCGCTCCAAAATAGATTCTGAGGGGCTGCTGCAAAATATGCTAGGAACTCATTTCAGTCGCTGTGTCAGGATACAGCCTGGACCGAAGACTTTGGGTGGGATTTTTGGACGCAAGTAGGCTACCACTTGACTTCGGAATTCAGTTGTGCTTTTGCAGATGGCTCCTGTCCAAGAGGCTTGATTAATTCTTGCATTGAAGATCATTGAAGATCAATATTTTTATTGGAAAGCCGCTCAGGTGAGTCCTGCCCTGACTCTGGAGTCATTTAGGCACAGAATATACCATCCGCAAGCTGATAGCATGCAATAGGAGAACATGAGAACAAACTCCTCAACCTCCCTCGGATACGATGGACCATTGGTTGGAACGGATGTGTTGATGGACAAACAACCGCAAATTCGGCTTCTCAAATCACGGTCTCAGCCCAGGAACAAACTTGGAAATCGTCTGCCCAGGAACAAAATAGGAAGGCTGGATGGGACCATGGCCTGGATCAATGTTTGCCTTGGGCGTAGTGTCGCTAAGGATGTAGGTAGAAGACCCCCACGAAAGGACGCAATATGGATGTGATATGATGTGATTTTAGTTCGATTTTATTTATAGAGGGGAAATGTTGGGCCTTGAGCTTAGCAGCTTGTCGTATAAAGTTATGAAGTATCAGTATCAGTGTCTCCGTTATTGATTACTGTATAAGACGCCGCTGGCATTCTGCATTTGGCTTTAGCTTTACACAGCTAAGTTACTAAGCATGCACTTGCTGTGACATGATACGGTCAGATCCTGAAAAGCCTGAGTGGACACGTGGGCGCATGACGCACGCAGAAGATTGCAGAAGAGTCGAGACTCTTTGATACACTTTCACCATACGTCCCCCAAGCCCAAGATTCAAGAATTTCCAGATAAAGGCGGATGGATTGCTAGCCTGGTGATTAGAGCAATGAAACATGGGCAGGCTATGAGGCGTCCAAAAAAGCTTATGTGCGAGTCTTGTTGCTTTTCCCTTTGACATTTGCACCCCACATATCACACATACATACAAAATTAACCCCGCAAAACGTAGTTGGACACATGTTGAAGATCTTTTCAAAAGACCATTTGGAATCATTCGGAGGCCGCATACCACAGTTCAATCTTGCAATCCTCAAGCGGCTTCAAGCCGCTTCAAGCCGCTTCCTTTGTCTTTAGATTCTCCAAGCCGGGCCGAGCCATGTCATATGACCGCTCGGGGCCTGGGCGGAATCCAGTGGTGCAGACGGGGCGCTCAGAGAAGATCGAATCAGAGTCAGTGCCCAAATGGACTTGCGAATGTGGTGCTTGGGCAGCAGGTCCGATAAAAGATGATTTAAAAAAAAACGCAAAAAATGAGCAAGGATGTGAGGAGAGGATAAGGAACGACCCATGAGCAGACTATAGATGACTATAGAGCAGATTGATGAGTTCATCATGTGGTGTGGACATGGTACCGGGAAGGCTGCAAGTGAGTAGATTCTACAAGTGATTACTTAAGCGCATCTCGTAACTGTGAGTTGTATTTCAATATATTTCAATTCAAGAGCTCATTTGTGAGACTACGGATGTCCAACGAGAACCTGGCCAACCTAGGTGCGACAAATCTAACATCGCGCTCACACTGCACAAAGTGCTCAATGCTTCGGAAGCTTGATTAAATAGATTCATTTATGATTTGAGCACGCTGCCGCTGAATGAAACATGCTGACAGACACTGTTTGGAGGAATGGCCTACCCAATCGCACCCAGTAGCACATCCTACTTGTAGCACTTCCTAGCTAACCCTGGAGCCAGCTAGCCATTGACTAGCTACTGGCCACTGCAGCTAGGAAGGAGGACCGCGAGCAACGGATGGTGGCACGCGCCAATCTGGGCCTTGGCCGTGGGGGTGGCTACTTCGAGCGTGATGATGCTGCCCCCCACAGAGGACGACCGTGACGTGGCATTTGGAGCTGTTGCAAGGGTCAGTCTATGACCATTAGCAATATTACACCAAGAAATGGATAGAAAAGTATTTGTTCATTGCATTTGTGCAAATGTTATATCATATGTATGCACCCCGTGGACCACAAATCCGATGGTGCTGAAAGAGAGCAGCAATCACAAGCACAGCAGGCAGAGGGAGGGGTCTACCAAAGATAGATAAATTCATCAAATGTTGGATCTAGTGACTAGTGATGTCACGAAAGCTAGCTTCTGCTAGCTGAAGTCCCTCTTGCTAATACCTTGCTGAAGGTATTAGGGGGGCTGGAATCTCATACCGCATGGAACTCTATACTTAACTACCCCCCTGCCCCCTGGCTGGTTCACAAGCAGCTTGGCCATGGCTCAATCCCCCCCGGGGACACCGTCAGCATGTCGCCACCCTGCGCTGCGTTACTTTTTCCCGTGCTTCCAAAGCTCCACTCCGATGCCGAAGGTGGACCTTTGAATCTTCCCCAATCACTGGTCATCATGTTGGCTATGCTGAAATTCCTCCCCTCTTCATGCAACAGTAATTACATAGTCATATAATCTCATCCTCGCCTCCTCCAACATACATGGCCTCAATGCGTAGGTCTGGATGTTTGCCTTACCAACACGCCTCAGCTTCAGACCTGCTCGTCCACGTTGACGCAACAGCTGCGCTGTGCCGTTTGTGTTTTCATGCCAAGCTCCCTGCCAAGCTAGCTTTCGTCCCTTACCCCTGGACCTTTCAAGTTGAGTAAGGTGCAAAAGACAATTCACGCAGAAAATTGCGTCTGACGGTCAGCCTGATCTTTTTCGGATTCAAACGCTTATTATTTGGAGCACATGTATTTGATGCTGCTTTTGCTGGCCCTTCATGTCAAATTTTGGTCCACAGATTGAGGCCTTTTCCAGCCGGCACTTGAAGGGATGATCAGGGATGTATCATAGATGGCCTGGACATGACCAGTGCGTGAAGATGCGTGAAACCATTGAACATCCACTGCCCCAAAA